AAAAAAAAAAAAAAAAAAAAAAAAACTCTGGAGACAATAAAAGATCAGTGGCTGCCAGAATTTCCGGAATAGGGAACGAGGAAGAACAGACCACAAGGATTTTATGGTAGTCAGAACAGGATATGGGGCTGACGAGATAGTTCAGTGGATTAAGCACCTGCTTATGCAAGAGCAGGGACCAGGGTTCCGCCCCCAGTATGGCAAGCAGCACAGCCCCACCCCCAGGTGCGCTTTGCCAGTGACTGAGTGGGGCGTGGTGGCACACACCCATAATCACAGCTATGGGGAGACTGAAAACAGGAGGATCACTACGATCATGAGCCCGAGCTGTGCAGTGAGACCCCGTACCAAATGCATTAACCAAAACACAAAACCAAAAAAACTATATGGTATTATAATGGTGTGTATGTGTCAATACTTATTGTCCAAACCTATAAAATGGACAACAGCAAGAGAGGATACTAACATAAGCTGCAGACTTTAAGTCACTATAACATGTCACTATGTAAGTTTGTCAAGTGTGACAAATGTACTTCTATTGGGAGATGTTGATAAGGGAAACAAATAACTATACAGAAAGCAAGGTATATGGGAAATCGCTATTGAGCTAAAACACCTTCAAGCTCAATTTTGCTTGAATCTAAAACTATGTCTTTAGGGCTTTACGTAACATGTGGGAGAGCCTGGGTTCATCTCCAGCATGGAAAGGGAAGAAGAAAACCCAGGAGCGATAGGGAAGGGAGACAGAGAAGGGCAGGAGAGGAGGAAAAAAAGAAAAAAAAAAAAAAACAGGAAAAGGAAACGCAAAGCAAGGGGAAAGGGGGATGGGGAATGGAGGATGGGGAATGGGGATGAATGGGATGGGAATGGGGATGAATGGGATGGGGATGGGGATGGGGATGGGATGGGATGGGATGAGATGGGATGGGATGGAATAAGGAAAAAGGTAACAGGGGCTTAGCTCTGTGGTAAAGCACTTGCCTAGCACACATGAGAAACTGGGTTCAAACTGCAGCACCTGAAAAATCGAAAGACAGTATTCCAAAAGAAGTTTCCAAAAACTGAAATTATTGAGATTGAATAAAAAGTCTTCACAAAGAAAGTGAAGACAAACACTAAGAAGTGGATAAACCTCAAGATGGTAATATCCGCCATCAACAGTAAACTCCAGAGACACGTAAAATTATGGGTAAAAATAGCTCCAAAGGTAGAGCTAGAAAGTAGAGCTACACTGTGGATGCTATACTGTGGAACATCTGATACTTAATCCAGTTAGCCCTAAGACAACAAAGAAAGTTCCAGAGTATAAAATTTTTATGACCACAAGGACCAAACAGTGCTGGGCAAAAGTGTAAAAGACAGACTGACCAGTATACCTTCTTTTAAATACCTTCCATTACTTCCCTCCCTTGCCCCCCGCTTGTTTTAAAAGTGATGCTGAGAATCAAATCCAGCGCCTGAGCTACATCTGCCCTGAGCTACATCCCCAGTCTTTTCATTTTTCAGAAACAAGGCCTCACCAAGTCACTAAATTGCCCAGACTGGGATTGAATTTGTGACTCTCCTGCCTCCACCTCCCAGAACATTGCGATTACAGGTGTGTGCTATCACACCTAGTTATTCCCTTTATAACCTGCTTATAATTTCTCAATTTCATCTTAAGGTATTCAATTTTTTTAAATATTAGTTATCACAACTTAGTTTTAAAAAATTCATACATATATCATTATCTAAATCAATAATCAGCCTAAAGAAAATTCTATGGAAATCAATTTCATACTGACAGCAAAGTATGTAAATTAATCTTTAAGAGTCCTTTAAAAATCACTTATAAATCTGATTATATATCTCAAACCTGACTCTCAAAAATGGTTGTTGACTTTTTATTTTGGCATCAACAAGGATCTCTGTTCCTATTTTCACTTCCTTCCCTTCACAAATCACCACCCTTTACTTCCAGCCACTCAAGTTAAAGACCTTGAAGTACTCTCTACCACCTTTCTTTATCTCATTACCTATCTATTGCCACCCTCATCTAACCCATCACAAAAATCAGGTCAGTTTTCCTTTCAAAATATATATCAGAAAAAAAAAAATTTGTAAGGCAAGGTGTCACTGAGTAGTCCAGGCTGGCCTTGAACTCCCTTACACAGCCCAGGCTGGTCTCAAAAGCACAGCAATCACTCCACCTCAGCCTCCCGAACACTGGGATTATAGGCATGTGTCTCCATTCCTAGCACAGAAAACATTTACACATAACCAAAATCTACAACTTCCTAACCATCTCCTTAGCTGCTAACTTCATCAAACTAATCATCATTTCCTATCTGCATTATCTCGAAAGGGACCTCAGCTACTGCCCTTGTTTTTCTATGGCTTCCAAAGTCAAATACGATCTGTCCTCTGGTACTCTGACCCTCGGCTTCCTTCTCTCTCATTCATTCCACATAACACTGGCCGTGCTTTTCTTTCTATACCACAAACAAATCCTCATCTTTGAGCCTTTATGTTCTGTGTTCCCTCGGCCTATGTGCTCCTTCACTTCCATCAAGTTTTTGCAGCAATGCAGTAAAAAATAGCTGTGGACCCAAGACATCCAAATCCAAGATCCCCACTACCCTCCCACAGATTATATAACTGTTTAAAAGTGATTATTTATTTAGTCATTATTTTCTCATTTTACTGTTTCTCCATCCCTCCCCAAATGACAGTTCCATGCAAGCCAATGATTTTATCTGTTTTGTTCACTTAGAAGAGAAGCGGCCCAGACACAGACACAACTCATACTAAAATATTGCCACTGCAAAGTAATAATATTACACAAAGTAATTATATGCCTGCAGTAAACATTGATTACCTACCTCCTCTGCTCCTGTTCTTTTTGATGAGATTTGTGCTACAGTTTCTTTTAATTTATTAGCCTTTTCAAGTTGGGCTTTAAGTTGTTGAGCCAGTTCCTTCAAAAAGAAATTGTGACATGTTAATTGTCCATTATAGGATACTACAAATTCACACAATAAAAAGAAAACAGTATAACAAAAAAAATATATATAGCTATCATCTAACTTCAATTACCAACTCACAGCTCAGTAGATATATTAATGAGCTTAATCTCAATTACAAACACCTCAAATATCTGTGACATATGAAGGTAAATTATTTCAAGGTCTCCATCCAAAGAGATGGAAGAAATATAACCACAAGAGTAATTTCATAAAGAATATTTTTACAGGGCTGGGGAAATAGCATGGCAGTCTAAGTGCCTGCCTCGCAAGCGCGAGGACCTGGGTTTGATCCCCAGTACTGCACGCCATGCTGGTCACCAAAACAAGACTTGGTGGTGCATACCTATAATCCCAGCACAAGGGAGGCTGAAACAGGAGGATCACTACAAGTCCAAGCTGTGTAGCAAGATCTTATACCAAATAAATAAAGATTTTCCTAAAAAATTTTAAAAGAAGGGCAGGGAGATGGCTCAGTAGAATGAGCACTTGCCTGGAAAGCGCAGGTCCCTGAGTTCAAGCCTCGGTGTTGAAAATGAATAAATAAATAGATAAAAGAATATTTTTACAATTCATAGGTATTATAAATTCTCAATACTTAAAATTTCAATTATTTGTATGAAGGAAGCTATCACAAGATTCAGCTTTTGTTTTTATTTTTTTTTTTTTATTTTTAGGGAAGGGTCTACAAGGTGTTCAAGGTCTTACTAGATTGCACCTGTACTTAGCCGCCTGTTTACGGCCTCCCAAGAGCTGGGATTACAGGCACATGTCACCACGCCCAGTCTCAATTGCTATCTCAGTGTACCCCAGAGTTGGGGCCAGCAAGGCAGGCCTGGGGATAGAACCCCCAGTCCCTGCACCTGCTTGCAGGTACTTTAATCCGCTAAGATATTTGGCTGGCCCTATGATTTAATATATTATTTTCTTCATTATTAATAATTTAGAAAAAAAAATGTGAATATATTTCGACTCCAGAAAATATATAGGAACATATATAAAACAAATGACATATAAAACCATAAACCAACTAGGCACAGAGGCATATGTCTATAATCCCAACACTTGGAAGGCTGAGGTAGGAGGATCACCATGCATTTGCAGCCATCTTAGGTGCCTCATGCTGAGTTCAAGGCCAGTGTGGGCTACACAGTAAAACTGTGTCAAAAAAAAAATGAGGAAAAATTTAAAAAGCAATAAGCCACAAAGTAATCTATAAATAACCTTATACGTCATAGCATAGCATGTTGCACTACAATGGCTCCATGAACAATAGAACACGTTTTTTAACCTAAGAACTTCCTACTACATGACTTCTCTTTCACTATTTTAGCCAATTCTCCTGTGCTTTCATGATTGAAGCTTAATTTCTTGCTACTGTATTGCAGCTGGCTTATCTCTCAACCTTACTTTCTTGCTGTTTGTGGTGTTGTTCTTGGCTTATCTCTCAGCAACTTCTGAGCTGAGCTGAAGTATTTACCAAGGACCAGATTCAAATAGACCAGCATGTACAAAACATGCCTGCTAAAGATGTAATGGACATACAAACTAACAGCAGAAATAGCAAATTAGCTACCTTTGTTCTACTAAAAGGTGCTACACTGATAAAATACAAAAACGTAAGATTAATAAAATATCACATCTTAGTTTAAGATTACTACATAAATACAACTGTAAGTGACTCTCTAGTGTCATGGCATAGAAAGCTATCTAAGCTTTTACTATCATGAGCAATTTAACATAACTTAGTGTAACAGAGATAAAAACATAATAAACAAAAGAATGTATGAATAAATAAAAGTAGATCTTCAATTAAAGGTAAAGCAGTCTTAAACATTATTATAAGAATTAAATGTATTAATCCAAATAGAACATCCCATACAATATCAAGCACAAACATCATCTCAAATGGTTGAATAAATAAATAAAACCACCTTTTCTGAAGAGCTCATCTTTTATGTTCTTATTCTCAAATAACTAAAAATGTGAACATGTTTAGAAATGTTCCTAGAAACAAAGGTCTTTAACTCCTTCAAATATGCTACATAAATTAACACAAAATAAAGCCAATAGAAACAATAAAAATTACAGCATACAATTCCCTGGGATCATAAATTTCAGAAATATGGAAAAGGAGATACTCATTTACAGCAATATTCTAGTAAGAACTGACAAAAGTGTGCCACATCCACACTACTGAGGATTTCAAAACTACTCCAAGTATGTTTAATCATCATTCTTCAAAAGAATGGTGTGGGAGTCTTACCATGTTCCCCATCATCTCTGCCTTAATAATCTTGGCCCCCAATTTGTTCTTCTCATCAACACTCAGGACATGGATGGACTCATCCTCTACACTAGGCAGGAACAGGACAGAGTAAGAGCACATGAGATACAGGCGCAAGTAATAACACCAAGACTCCAGCAATTTTTATCTTAAATGGTTTCAATAAAACATTCCACATCAGAAGTAGATCAAGATTCCAATATGTAAAAATTGGACTCAATGTGCTACCATCGCTCAATCAATACTTCAAGGTTCTATAGAGAGCCAATACAGCATATGGCAATTATAACAACTGACCAAGTCCCAATAACAATGAGATAAACAATTTTAAAATAACTATTTTTTAAAAAATAAAATAATTCTTTATTATTTAATAATTCCATATTCAATTCTAAAGCAAAAATACCAAAACCAGGCCACAATTTCATGTACCTTAGAAACATCTACTCATTCAATGTAATAATATACTAAACTATAATCTGAAGATATGTTTAACCACATTCAAAGAATGAAAGCAATGATCATGTGTCCTTTTGTAAAGTCAGTTCAGAATTAATCACATATACAAACTAATTTAAAATGAAGAATATTTGCCTTATACTACCAAAGCCTCAACCAAAGAAAAATTTCGAGCCAGGGTTACACTGTCTCTCAGCTTACTACCACAAAATGGACTGAAGGCTACAGAACATGGAAGATGAACTCAGGTGAGCCTGAAGGATTTCTGAGTAAAAGGGAGGAGACCAAGAATTCCAAGGCAGCTACAGTTCACTGAACTGAGTATTGCAGCGAAAAGAATCCCAAAGGAGTATTCAGGAAGAAAGTAACTCATCAGGGGGAAAAAAACTACTCCAAAGGATTAGAAGAACAGTGTTCAGCTGTTCTGGTGATAGTGCTTGGTTCCATCGGACAGACTAGGAGACCCATAATTCAGAAAGTACTGAGTAGAGAATCAAGGCAATGCTTCAGTGGTGGGAAATAAGCCCAAGGCTAAACGTGGCTCTGGGCCCACCCAACATATGAGAAAAGCAGGAGTGAAAACAATCAAGTGGTTTCCAATCAGTCCCCAGACCAGTGCAAAAATATTCATAGAAATTCAAAAATAGCCAGCACACACATGATAAAATATATAATACACAGTATGAGTATACAAAATAGCAAAATTACACATTTAAATTTAATTATAGGTTCTGCATTCCTAAACAAACCTGAAATCTGAAATGCTCCAAAATCTGAAACTTTCTGAAACTTTCATGAGCATTAACATGATGTTGAAAGTGAAAAATTCCAAATCTGATTTCATATGACAGCTTGAACTTGAAATGGAGGCATACTAAAAACATATAAAATTTCCTTTCAGACCATGAATATAAGCTATAAACGAAATATGAATGAAAGATTACACTTAGGTGCCATCCTAATTTACATATACACAAATACTCCAAAATCTGAAAACAATGTAAACTCAAAACACCTGTTTCCAAACATTTTGCATGAGATATTTCACCTGTGTATTAGTGGTAACATTACATACAAATGGTCCAAACATCTAAATTAAAAGGCAGTAATTTATATGTGAATTAAAAAAAATCAAGTCAACTATAAAAAGTTCTGTAACTATAAATATATACACATTATACATAAAAAAATGGAAAAAGATACACTATGTTGACTGACAAAATGAAACTGAAATGTCTACATTATTAGACAAATTACCATATGTAGCCAAAAAGTATTAAAAGGGCAAAAAGGGTAGCTACATAAGAAAAAGAAGTAATTCACCAAAAGCACAAACAAATCCTTAAATGTCTATGTAACTTATAACAGCTTTAAAAATGAAGTAAAACCAGACAGATCTGCAATGAGAAAAAGACAAATCCAGAATTAAAGTCATACACTTCAACATCTCTCCTTCATGCCTGTCAGAACAGAAAATTGACAAGAATACAGAAAACTTCATCAGTGAAATGGCTCAGTAGCCCTTTCTGGAACACTCCACACAGCATCAATAAAACACATACTCTTTTAAATATGTTTGCCAAAATAATAGGAACAGGACAGAGTAAGAGCATATTTGCCACATTCCATAAAATCAGAGTGCATAAACATAAAAGGTTCAGGTCATACAAATTATATCCTCTGACCACAAGAAATTAAATTGGAAATCATTAACAAGTGTCAAGAAAATTCTCAACTAGTTGAAAATTGAACAGCATTCCTCCAAAGTCACCAACAGGTCAAGAAAGAATTAAAATCAAATTATAAAATATTTGGAACTGAACAAAACTATAAAGGCAATATGTCAGGATGTGTGGAGTGCCATGAAAGCATTACTTCAAGAGAGCACATATTTAAAAAGACAGAAAATGCTCAGCTTACATTTAAGAAAGCAGGAAAAGAAGAGTAAATTAAACCCAGTAGGAGCAGAATGTAAGAAATAATAAAAATCAAAGTAGAAATACATGAAATAAAAAACAAGCATGATGGTAGGCTGAAGCAAGAAGACCATTTGAATCCATGAATTCAAGATCAGCCTGGACAACATAGCAAGACCCTATATAAAACAATACCACCAAAAATAATAACAAAATTCAATGAAAATAAAAGCTGCTTGGGGCTGGTGAGATGGCTCAGTGGTCTAAAGCACCTACTTAAAACAAGCTTAGCAAAGCACAGGGACCGCAGTTCAATCCCCAGCACCACATGCCAGCCAGCCCCGCCCCCTGGTGGGCTGAGCTGGCCACACACACACACACACAAATAAATAAATTTAAAAAATAAAAGCTGCTTATGCCAACAGTACAATGGAGAAATAAACTTTCTTATCTCCATCAATCAATAAAATGAATAAACTATTAATATTCTACTGAGCCATCTTCCTGGCCCCCCATGTACCAATATAGCTGAAGCTCAAAAAAATTATAATGAGTGAAAAAAGTTGGAACCGAAAAGAAACAAAAAGTCAGAGCTCTCCTTGCAAAAAAAAAAAAAAAGAAGAATGGGAATGTGGGAAGAGGAAAGATGGAGAACTCCAGGAGATTCTTAGGAGCAATAGTTTTATAAGAATAAACATATCAAAACTTATCAAATTTTATATACATATATAATTTATCATGTAATCATATCTCAGTAAAGTTGTTTTGAAAAATCCTCAAAGAAAAGCAATAAAATTAAAGGCAGAACATATTTTAAACACTATCATCACCTCCAATAAAAAAGACAAACCTACATTACCAGTTTTTCTGAATTCCTAGGCTTTCTTTTACCTTATTAAAATTAACCTATGTTCTCAAAATATCCTCTAAACAAGGAATAGCAAAATAAATAACTTAAAATTCAAACCAAAGAATGACTGGTTAACCATGTATGGCAATTCTTTTATGTCATGAATTCTTTGCTATAAAAAATATATAAATATTTGAATATATAGCATTCATGTTTTTAAAAGTGTCATTTTTTCTGCTACAGCAACCACTTCTCATATTTGTACAAGGAAAAGCACTACTCTGCTGCCTGGACTAAGAGACTCAAGTATTGGAGGTACAGCACCACTACAAAGTAATGGGTTTTCCTCCGCTTCATGTTCTTTCAGTCTGTAGCTTAAAAGCAATTAAAACAAACAGTAGGAACACTGTATCAGTATAATCAGAAGAACATTATAACTTTTTATATGCCCCTAGAGTTATTGCTTGTATCATACTGTACTTTTTTATGAAAATTTTTCAAAATTTTTTTAAAAATTAAAACTGTGAGGTACATGTCATTTTCATTGTATTATAATCATAATTTATTTTAATTTTATCAGTTCACTCATATTTCTCTACTTTTTTCCTTTCTAATGAACATTTTCTCTATCTGCCTACTTTCTCATTCACTTTTCCAAAATACTTTGAAAATTTACTGTTCCTCCTCATTAGGTAGAAAGTACAGACATTAATGAAATTTTTGTATGTTTACATATAACACAAAATAAAATAACCATCATTAAGACAGTTATACTAATCGCTCACGTGCCCGTGTTGTCTGACCAGTTTTTCATGCCTATATCTTACAATCCACGCAACTACTTTGAAGATAATATGAAATATAGTAACCACTGTTACTTCCTAAAATCTTGCTTAGATAAGCACAGGGGCCAGGGTTTGATCCCTGGCACCACATGGCATGCCGGCCCTGCCCCTGGGCACACTGAGCCAGCAATGGAGTCCAGGCATGGTGATGCACGCCTGTAATCCTAGTACAAGGGAGGCAGAAAACAGGAGGATCACTACGAGTCCAAGCTGCGTAGTAAGACCCTGCACAAAAATAAATACAAAAAAATGAAATATAAATAAATGAATAAATCAGATCTTAACAAACTATTAAAAGAGAATCAGTTCAAATTTGTCCCCATTAAGTATATCTGAGGTCTACCATTCAAACTACTATTTCCTAAGAAACTTCTTTGCTGCAGTCCTTTGGCCTTTTCTGCCTTTCTTTACTTCCCAAGTACTTAAGCACCTGCAGATTTTCCTTTCCAATGAAGTTCTGCCAAGTTCATCTAATTTTTTAAAATCTCAACATCAACTAGCATAGAAGATTAAAAAAAAAAAAAAAAGAACTTGAAGTAAGCTAAAATGTGTAAAGTTGTGGTTTCCCTAATATTTCTCCCAACTATTACTAAGGAAGCAGTCAACACAAGATATTCTCTTCAGGATTTGAGGTGATCTTTAGGATTCTGCCCATTATATTTCTCACCTGATGTTATAGGAAGCACATGCACTTTAGCACTTTTTTACCCCACTGATGTGTTAATGGGGGATTAATGAAAATATATGCATTGAAACCCAAGGTTCTGTAAAACTAATAGTAATAACACTATTATGATAAAAGGAAAAATAAAATATTTTAATAAAAAAAAAGATTTCCTCATCAACTGTTATTTAAAAGGCAAACAAACAATTTAATAAAATCAAAAGAAAATAAAGGACAGGGGGCCGGGGAGATGGATCAGTGGAATAAGCGCTTCCCTGGCAAGTGTAAGGGCCTGAGTTCAATCCCCAGTTCCGCCACAAAAAATAAAATAAAATAAAGGACAAAAGCATTTCAAGAGATCCTTTAAATAGAGGGATTAAAGATATCAATATTAACACAAACCTCTACATCTTCATGGAAATAAGATGCCTACTAATAGGCATGAGTAAAAAAATCAAAGTATAAATATCTACAGACAACTAAAAATTGTTTCTAATGCAAACTTTTCATTGAACACTAAGTTATATCTTTATAATACCAACTATTTCCTTCTTCCTTGCAAGAAATGATCGATCCCTTATAGCATTAAGAGAAAAGGAGTTTTAGCATCAGACTAACATGGATTCAAATTCAGACTGAAACATCCTAGCTTTACCAGACAACCTCTAACAAATAATTTATCTCTCCAAGACTATAAAATCAAAAAAATCATTAATACCTTCTTTCACATTATTTCATATGCTAAGTGTTCTAAATACAACTGCAGTAACAGCAATAACATAATGACATTCAAACATAGTGTCTACCCTCAATAATTATTTATTCCTTTTGTCACTGTGAACCAATTACTGAGGCACAAGAGAATCCTCCAACCAGTTCTACATTTACCAGATCAAAAATACAATAATGAAACATCCTCCCCCAAACAGGTTAAAAATAAGAATGCCTGCAGCTGTGCACAGACACAAGGATGGAACCAGACCTCTTCAGAGGTACAAGCTTCCTCACTGGTTCCTGAGAGCCAGCTCCCGCTCCTCCTCTCCTTCTGTACGTTCCCTCCTGTGATTCCAAACATCTCGTAAACGACAGCCTCCTAATCATTATATTTAACTCAACTCTACTCTGCTTTTCAATCTAATGTTCACAAATCTCTGGATTATTTTTAAAATATATATCTTATCTGTTTATAATCCTTGAGATATTTATCACTCATAAAAAAATGGTCAAGCATGACATCTGGAGCCATTTACAAGGTAAAAATACTTGTAATATTCCACCTGGCTTCTTACTCAACCATATTTTACAAGTTATTGAGAAGATATTATATGCTTTTACCAGGATTTAGAGATACAGATGAGGAGCTATACCCTGCTCTCAGGAAGGCACACGGCACACATTCTAAAACACCACCTGCATACACTCAATTATGCCACGCTGCTTACTGCTCATCTCCCCTGTCCAAGTTGGTTTTCATTTCCTACTAATAAATTCATCCTTCAGAAGACCTCACGACTTCGTCTACAACTTTCCTCCACCATACTACCACAGAATATCTCAGAAGAGGTCATTGCCCCTTCCAAAGCATAACTACTGTTAACTGTAAATACCTATACTTGCACTTATAACCTTATTATGGTCCTACATGTACCATACCTGTTTAAATTATCTGTATGACTGCCTGTCCCAAAATGAGTTCTTTAAATGAAAATTTTTTAGAATTATTTTTATGCCACCTGGTCTAGGAAATAAAAGCATTCAGAAAATACAGATGAATGGCAGACAAATGCCTGAATCATTCTAACAGCATGAAGTACAATTTTTAATGCAGAAATAACCACCCCTCGTTGCTCCGTTCCTTGTTAATGCTGATTCAGACACGTTTTTTCAAATTTGAATGAAAGTAAAAATAGAAAAACATGACTAATGAATAAAAAAGAAACACTAATAAACATCTGCCACTAAAAGTAGGGTTGACTTTACCTGTACTTAAAGAAAAACCAAGGGAAACATCTGTTTCTCAACCAAATATTAACTTGGCAAAGATTTTTTAAAAGTTCAATAATGGTATCAGCGAGGAAAAGCATTCCCCTGTATGCAGTGGTATCAGACACCCATCTCTTGTACAAGGTCACACGGTTAAAGTGTTATCCGAATACCTGTCTGATACAACACCTAACACTCAAATATAAATTCAAGGTAAACAACAAGGTCTCTTCTCAGAAGTGTGTCCAATTATAGCAGGAGAATTGCTATTTTTTTTTTATTCACCCATTATGACAAGTTAGCTTAGCTATGCTAACTTGATTGGCTTAGAAACCACCTAAAGGATTAGTTAAGTAGAGCTCCAAATATGTCTGGGTGTCATGGGGCATAATCTTGGATATTTTACAGGTTCCGGGGGCCCCTTCCTCTCTGGCACAATTCCCCAGCTTTGTTTTCCCAGCCTCAATGGACTAAGCATCTTGCTCTACGAGGCCCTTCCACCATTCCGTTACGTCACCACAGACTGAATCTGATGAAATCGTGAGCCAGATTAAACTTCTTCTTCTTCTTTAAATTCTGGGTGCTGGCTATTGTGCCTCAGAGGCCAAGAAAGTAACTAATGCACTAACCCAGTTACCCTGACTACATGACACTGTGCAAGTCATTACCTCAGGTCCCTGATTTCCACATCTGCAAAACAAGAGGCTTAGGCTATGATTCTTCTCACTCTAAAGTCAGTTCTATGATTTTTCTTCTAAACCTAAAATTCACTGTTTCTAAAGCACTCTAGAATTACAGCTATGTTTAAATTCAACATAAATCCCACAATAACATTAACAGGCTCCAATAATCCTTCACTGAACCTTTCCAAGCATTCCTCAAAGCCCTAATGTGTCTCTTTAACACGACTATATACTTTCATACGTACGTAATTATTTGATTTTTCTTTCCCTATCACAAAATTTATGAAAAGCTTCAAACAGCTCTTACATCACAATCAATGAAACTAACAAATACTGTCTTCAGACCAAAAAAAAAATCCTTTTAGTGAGTGCCTGTAATACAGTAAACCTATCAGAAGCTCACAATTTAAGATATAGAAATATGAAATAAGAAAATCAGATAGAACACTAACAGTGTTATTTTGCAGTCTGCTTAGCTTCAGTCACAGAAATCAAGATCTACAGATTACCCAAATGCTAAGCAAATCCTACAGAGAATAGCAACTGCAAAGGAGCAGCAGCCAACAACCCAAGGCACCCAAAGTAAAGCCTCAGGGTTTAGCCACCACGCACACACACCCACAGACATTCTCTAATCTCTGCCACCCTTATTCACTGGATACAATGAAATTCACTTTCAGTTTCCCAGACAGAAAACTCTTGCCTAAACTAACGCTCTATTTGAGTGGAGCTCCATCCCTCAATCCAACTCTTCCTTTAAATTATACACTGTGCCTATAAATCAATGCTCTGGACAGAGTCATTAAGGAAAGCCATTTGCCAGAAACACCATCCTAAACCACAGTGTCTGTATCCATTGTTATCACTGATTTCCATTATTTCTTAAAACCGCTGCCACAGTGTCTCACTCATTTGCTAGTGCTTTTAACATACTTTAATGATCATCAAAGTATAACTAGTCTTTATTCTTTGCATACTTATTAATTTCTATCTCCTGTAACAGAGCGAATTCTATGGCTAAGCCAAGTTTTTCCTGGGTTGATTCCACTCAATCTAGATTTCTTCATCTTCTGACTCAGCCCCACATAAACAGATACAGCAATAACAAAGCCAGTAATTTCTATTTATTTTCCTAATCATTATGGATTACAACCACTATCATACAAATATTTTACTTGTAAAACTAACATTATTAGGATGAGGATATGGCCCAGTGGCACAAGCACCTGCCAGGCAAGTATAAGGTCCTATGTTCTATTTCCAGTAATAATAATAATAATAATAATAATAATAATAACAACAACAACACTAACAGTATATTTGAAATCTATCAATTCTGCAAAGTGGATTCTTCCTTCTCTACAAAACTACCACATAATTCACATTTACCTCCACAAGATCTCTAGCAAATGTTCATCGCTACATATTTGGGCTACGGTACCAAATTTTCTTTAGTTTTCTAAACCTCCTATGCACATACAGTATTCATGATTTAACACCTAAGTAGTTGCTTTTAGAGTCTCACTGTGCAGTTTAGGCTGGGTAGTCCAGGTTAGCCTAGAATTTGCAGTAATCTTCCTGCTTCAGCCTCTCGAGTGCTGGAACTACAGGTGCACGCCATCACACCCAGCTTACACTTTTTAAATTATAAGACAGCAATAAGTTTTGAGAAAATATAGCTAATGAATTCTTTTAGCTCATTATTTAAAAAACAAAAACCTATAAAATAAAATGCAATCTATAAAATGAAATTATTGTGTTACATTGTTAAAACTACATATCTGGGGCCGGAGAGATGGCTCCATGGAATAAGCACTTCCCTGGCAAGCGCAAGGGCCTGAGTTCAATCCCCAGTTCTGCCCCAAAAAAAAAAAAAACTACATATCTAATCTCTTCTATCAAGAAATATACTTAATAACTGATATTCTAACACAGGCCACTTCTTTGAATCTTCATGGATTTAAGAGTGATTTATTAATTTAAAACACAAATAATAAAATACCCAGCAAGGGCTGGAGAGATGGCTTAGTGGTCTAAAGCACCTACTTAGAACAAGCTTAGCAAAAGCATCAGGGACTGCGGTTCAATCCCCCAGCATCACATGCCAGCCAGCCCTGCCCCCTGGTGGGCTGAGCTGGCCTCTCTCTCTCTCTCTCTCTCTCTCTCTCTCTCTCTCTCTCTCAAATAAATAAATAAAATTAAAAATAAATAAATAAATAAAATAAAATACCCAGCAAATGTAGACTCTGCGTCCTCCAAGTGTTCTCGCACTCTCTTGGCTGGCAATTTTTCTCCCATGTCTCCTGAAATGTGTCCAGAGTCAACGCCGCTACTTGTTTCCAATGGCTTCTTACTTGAATGTTTCTGGTCCCCTCCCCCAGATCGTCTCCAACGCATTAACCTTTCTTCATCATTTTCCATGGGCTTTTGGGAGCCACAGTGCAAAGAACCCTGAGCTACTGCTAATGATGAAGAACTAGATGGTTCAAAATCTCTAGCCTTGAAACGAGATGACAGTTCATCAGCATCAGAAGGTCTTAAGAATTTAGGTCTCAAATTTCCCGAAGACGCAAACTCTTGATTTTGCCTTGGATTGAATTCTCTTCTATGTGATTCTGAAGAGGTGTATCTCTTATCTTTCTCATTATCACTACATTTATCTTTACTGCTGCTGTTTGTAATCGTTGTTGTATCATACTTGTCTCTTGAAATTTTATTATATTTTACTAAGTCTAATTTCCTACTTTCTTGACTCTTTTGTACTTTATCTGAATATGTTGGTTTTCTCCACCGCTCTTGTGTAGAATCTTCATTTTTGCATGCAGTTTTTTCAGCTTCTTCTAATTTCAACTGGAATATTTCCATTGACTACAAAAGAGAAAAATAACACCTAAAATTATAAAATGCTCAGCGATGTGTCCCTCATAAGCCTCTGTGCCTGGACCCACTCCCAAGTGAAGCAAGGAAAGACAAATCCACCAAGACAAAGGAAGAGGAGGTGTGACCTCATACAGTCATCCTACATTAAAATGCACTAAAATGTATGAGCAAACAAGAAAAAATTACCATAACGAAAAACCTCTAAAAGTGGAACCACTTAAATCAAACTTGTCTGTACTAACACCATATAATACAGAATACAGTGGAGACATAAATTTTTTAGTCAGTTACCTCTGACTGGTAACATCCAAGAGCCTAACATGCTACTAAAACAAACAGACTCTCATTAAAAAAAAAAAAAAAGGAATACCTCCCAACGAGAGGCTTGAATGGAATGAGAGATCTGAAATGAAAACTGTGCCACAAAACATGCCCAGATACTAAAAAAGAAAAAAAAAAAAAAGAATAAAAAGTGTTAAAAACCAAATTAGCCTGGGAATTCTCTATAGTTTAGGAAGTCATGATAAACAGACACAAGAAAAAAGACACAACAAGTGACTCCAGACTATAATCTGTACATGCGAGGACTTGCAGAAATGGTAAAGATGATGGAAGAACATCAAGAAAAATTAAATGTGCACAAGAAAATTTCCCCCAGCTGATTTTCTAGATCAGAAGGATACAGTCTACTAGTTTTGGGAGGGTGGGTGTTACACATAAAAAAAAATTTCTAATTCCTGAATCTCCAACTCAAAAATAAAAAATTATTAAAAAAAAAAAAACTGTATCAGTGAAAAGAAAATTTAAATATGAGTGCATACACCGATCACAGTGTATGGATGGCACATTATCCATAACAGAAAGAAAGCCTGTTCCAAAATACCACATACTGTTGCACGACTACATTACTTTCAAGAGTACAGTCTTCAATATACTTTATTCACACTTTCAAAAAAAAAAAGCAGCTTTGGAAAATGTCAAAACTCTACAATATACCAAACTCTGAAACATACAAAAATTTTAGGAGTGGCATTCTCTAGAGGTGCACCAAGGAGGCTGTCCTACATTACTTAAATTTTCTTAAAATAAGAAAATGTTATTTTCATATTAACACATACACATTTAACATTCACTATGTCAATACATGAATATGCTACATAAAAAGCAGAATCAGTTTAATTCCAAAGTGTTTCAAGGCATAAAACAAAGTTAAAGGTGCCTAGTTTTTCCTAGTACCATGAAAATAATACGTCCTTGTAATGTATAGGTACTTACCCCGTATCTTTCAGCTACAATGTCCTCAAATTTTCTGTTTTGTTTTTCAGCTTGTTCTTTCATTCTTTGGTAAGACTTTCTAAGCCAGCTTAATCCACCATCCTCTACTCCTGAGGCTAAATACCAATTAAGAAATGTTACCTTACTTATACAGTTATCATAAAATTCAATTTTTTCTATTATTTCCAAAGTATAAAATTATATATTTATTTGGATATATAATAATATAAGCATACTTTTAAAAAAATCAAGATCAATAAATTCATTACTGAAAATATGACATGCCAGATATTATCAAGGAACTCTTCATACAGCCCTTCCAAAACATTAAATCCAGAACAAGAATTCGACATCACTATCATCGAGTACTCACTATATTCCCGATGCTGTGTGAAACAATTTTCTATTGGAATCTTCTCAATAACTACGTAAGAGAGCTACTGTCAGGTGTGGTAGTGCACGTCTACAATCCCAGAATTCTGGGAGGCTAAGGCAGGAAGACTGCAAATTCAAACCCAGCCTGGGGAACTTAGGAAGACCCTGCATCAAAATTTAAAAAAACTTGAGGATGTAGCTCACCATGGAGGCCCTGGGATTAATCCCAGTACTACAAAAACAGAGGGAGAGAGGAAGGTAGGAGCAGAAAGAGTCAAGGACTATCCTCGTCATCTTTTGTACAGATGAATAGACTGCATTCCAAAAGATTTAGAAACATCCCCCAAATCACAGATCTTTCCCAAACATCACGTATTTCATAGGTAGAAGTGCCAAAATCTAATCCAAACTAAACCGACTGCAAAATCTAACAACACTGTCACCATCATCTTCTTAAGACTCTTAAGTGCCTGTTCCATCCCTACTGTTGGTCTAAACAGAATAGTAACACTAGCTGTACATGCAATAAAACCTACAGGTCACTTTTTAAAACTTAATTTCAATTCTGGGAACTGAGCCTCTGACAGAGCTGTCATTTTCCCTTCTTCTAAATAAATGTAACATGGGAGAAGGAAGTAGCAAAAGTGTGTGAAAGGGAAGAGACTCTAGAAGCTGTATGTAAGGTTACTGTCCTCCACGTATCTGACTCCGCCACTTCCACCCGCTAAGAGACACCACCTAGGGTATAGCTCCAACTCCAGGTCTTCTACCCCAAGGTTTAAGAATGTGCTGCCAGCAACGTTAAGAACTGGGTCTGTCTATTCTGTTCCCCAAAGATTAGTTTATTGACTGACTTGACTTTAGAAATGGGGCACGGATAGATCAGAAAATCTGTCTGGACTGACTTACTGCTCCTTTAACTCTTCAATGTCTATAAGACCATACTGCAAAAAGAACCTTTTTCTTTTTTAATGCATTTAGTACAGGGTTACAGGTCAGACTCAGAGTGATCCTTCCTGTTTTTCAGCCTCCCAAGTGCTGTGAGTGCACCACCATGCCCAGTCTCCATCTCAACACGCCCTGGGGGCAGGGACAGCACAGCAGGCGCTTTAATTCACAGAGCTATCTGGCCAGCTCTGCAAAGAGACCCTTGTATCAATAGTAACTATTATTTAAGCCAGCAGAGAAACACTTTTGCAAAATGTCTTCTCTATAATTACTAACAACTTCAGTAAAATTATTATGAAAGAGCCTATCAAGTTGATGTAGATGTATATATAAGATTAACAAATTTAACAGTATCAAAAATTGGAATATGAATAAAAAGGTAGAAAATATCTTACTAATAAATCACTAAAATAAAAAGATGATATCATAATTTATAATACTTTTATGGTATGATGAATTAACCATAATTCAGTCACTAAGTTGTTCATGCAAAATTTAATGGCATATAAGTACTTTTTAAAGCATGGTATAAAGTATGCTTACATGACACTGAAATATTTTGTCTCCATCTGCTGGAAAACAACAGTATTCTTGTAAGATCAATATAAACTTTGTGAATGCTGGCAAAGTAGAAATTTCTGAAGCTGTAAAACTGTACCTTTGTTTATACATTATTTTCATGAATTTCATAAATAGTACTTTTTACAAAACAAAGACATTTCTACATTATTATATCATCATAAAGTCATACTCTGAATTAACTTAATTGAAATAGAAATTCAGTCCAGGGGTCATGTTTCATGCTGAGAGGCTGAAGCAGGAAGATCCCCACTTCAAGCCTATCCTCAATAGCTCAGTAATTTAGCAAGACCTTGTCCTAAAATAAAAAAGAAAAAGAGAAAAGAAAGAAAGGGGCCAAGGAGTTAGCTCAGCAGAATAGGCACTTGCCTGGCAAGCACAAGGTCCTGAGTTCAATCTCCAGTGCCGCAAAAAAAAAAAAAGGAAAGAGAGAGAGAAAGGAAGGGAAGGAGAAAGCGAGACAGAGACAGAGACAGAGACAGAGACAGAGACAGAGACAGAGAGAGAGAGAGAGAGAGAGAGAGAGGAAGAGGGTTAGAGGGGGGAGGGAGAGGGAGAAGGAGGGAGGAAGGGAGGAAAGAAGGCAAGGAGGGAGGAAGGGAGGGAGGGAGAGGAAGCGGGGGAGGGAGAGAGAGGGGGGAGGAAGGGAGAGGGAAGGAGGGGGGAGGTAGGTAAAGGGCCTAGATTCAATATAGTTTAGGCTGGCCTTGAACTCAAGGTCCCTAAATGCTAGGATTATAGGCATGTGCCACCATACCCAGCACAAGAGAAGTTCTTATATGAAAGCATTATATAGGGCCTGGGATATAGCTCATTGGCACAGCACCTGCCTGGAAAGTGCTAGGTCATGAGTTCCATTCCTGGTACGACAAAAAAAAAAAAGATAGATACATAGATAGAGCATTATACAAAAACAATTATAAAACTATTTAAATAATTTGCTTCCACGTATTAATCATTTAAATAACAAAAATATCGTAAATACTTTATCAACGGTAAACTCAGGTCATTCCCTTAGGAATACCAAGTTACAAGAAATACCTATGCATCAACCAAAACACAAGACTACCTTTAGTAAGTGATGATACACTACAGTCTTCTGATGGGAGACCTGTCCCACCATCCTTCCAATATGGATTCAATTCTCTTTCAAGCAGTTTAGACTAGAAGAAAACATTTTCAGAGATTAAAAATGTAAAACTAAACCTACCACAGATAATTAATAAATCATAAATCTGAGACCCAGATACCAGCTATAACCCTGAGAACAAAGAAGGTCTAAACTCATTTATTCAGTATTTTTGCTGAATACTTACCATATTTCAGGATTGTGTTTGGTGTATAACAGATAACTGTCAATAATCCTGACTCAACCTTTGCTGTCTGAAACTATAGTAAGGAATACAGGTAATGTTAACTGACAAATCCTTTGAAGATAAAAAATACTAAAGCCCCCTAAAAGAATGCAAACCTCTCTCACACTAAAGCACTAAAAATGTCCCAGAAGAGATGATATGTACAGTCTTAGATCTGAGGTTGAACAGAAATTAGCTAAGTTTCTTGGGCCCACCCACCCCAGGGAGTGGGATATAAACACAGCCAGCACGTTTATAAAACCGTACTGCTATGGCTTGTATCTAGATGGCCTCCCAAAGCCTCAGGACTCGCAGGTGAGGCTTCCCAGAGACAGCTGGATCTATGGTGCATGAATGCAGATGAATGAGATGAAGGGTACACGAATGTGGGTTAAGGATGCGATGACTAAATTAGTCCTTTAACTGGTTTAGCACTGTTCTGGGTGTGGGTGGCACTGGATGGGGTAAGAGGGAAGAGGCTGGCTGCCTGCCTCCTGCCTGCTCTGCCATGAACGGCTGCTCCTCTGTGATGCTCTGCCACGCCACCCTGCCTTCAAATCAGCTGACTATGGACTGAAACCACCACACACCTGAATGTTGAGAATTCTGTCCCAGCAACAAGGAAGTTAAGTGAGACATGGAAAGAAGAACCATGGCTTTTGTCAGGAAATTTAAAGTAATTCAGACTTGCTTAAATTTAAAAATGTAAGTAAGAAGTAAAAATAAATTACATTAGAAACTAACCAGTGTGTAGGCCACATAAGGCATTGTGCACTGCTGTTGAGACTGTCTGCTGGGAGCAATGGTACCTCCTCACGGAAGTGACTAATTTTGTATTACACAAACAACAAACTGGCTTCACTGTAAAGACTAAAGAATATGACTGGAGGCACAAATGTTATGAGAAGATGGTAGTGGCAATCCAAGCAAGAAATAAGGGGAGCCTGGTCACAACACAAACGTCCCATGTCCCAAGCACTACGCCTGCCCCTGGGGTTACAATCAATAAGGTGGACGCAGGTCCATGCCATCAAAGAAAACAAGGTCTAGGAAAGGGAGAAAGGCAATTAAGCAGTATCAACATAGGCAAGTGGTATGAAAGCAAGGGGTGCCTCAGAACTATACACAAAGGACAGCTAAGCTCGGGAGGTCAGAAGATACTTCTACAAGAACTAATAAATAATCCAAACAGGATGGAGAAAAATGAAAAGTGTTACATTACAAGAATGTCACCTTTTCAGAATATGAACTAATCATATTAATGAAAGCGAAAATGGTGGATAGTATTTTAAATATATCTATTGGGAACTGACAAAAAAAGAATCCTTGAAAGACAATTAAAAGTAAATTTAATCAATTAAAATTAAAGGTTAAATCACTTAGTAAAACTGGAATTGATTTCTTATAAGTAGTATGTAGCAAAAAAGAAAGATTCTGTCACCTCTCCTGTCAGTTTACTACAAAATTTCTCAGGACCTATTATCAAGGAACTTCCAGTGTGCTCATCTAGCTACTAAAAATACACATCCAAGATCCAACGAGAGTTTGCTCAGTGGAATAAGCGCTTCCCTGTCAAGTGTAAGGGCCTGAGTCCAATCCCCGGTTCCACCCCCCCCAAAAAAAAGTCTACAATTACACAGAATAGGTCATCTGACAAGACATGTGACAAATTGATACTATTTTAAAATGTGTAAGAATAGAATATATAAAGAATTTTAATCCTAGGAGAAAGGAAAAGAACATAAACAAATAGTATGCACTAAAGAAACCTCAATGTACAAAAACATGAAAGGATCTCTCCTGTAGTTGTCAGAATAATGCATACTAAAAAACTGAGATACAATTTTTTTTCCCATATGCGCATTTCATAGAGGGTCTCACTACACAGCTTGGACTTGTAGGAATCTTCTTGTGTTCAGCCTCCCAAGCGCTGGGATTACAGGCATGCACCACCACGCTGGAACTCGATCACCAGTTCAGTGCACCCTGGGGGCGGGGCGGGCACAGTACGTGGGACTGGGGATGGAACCCTAGTCCCTGCGCATGCCAAAGCAGGCACTTAGTCTGCTAAGCTATGAGATACAATTTCTTACCATAAATTAGTCTGATAAAAAAGTTTGACAATTACAACAGATACTAAGCAATGGAAAAGAAATATACTGCTAAGGCGATACAATTGCTATAACCTTGGCAAGTACTTGTAAAAGAAGATACATTTAAATACTCCATAAATAAACTATTTCACTTGTAGACATGCATTATGGAGAAATTTGCACACTTATGCGTGAAAAAAATATATGACAATTTCTCTGTTGTAGCACTGACTAAAATAGTGAAAAACAGTAAACAAAACGTATCCAACACACATGAATGGATACTTACAATATGGCACAGTTCAATGATGAAAGACTACACAGAAATTTGAAAAATGAAACAGAAATATGTCAGCATAACTGATCTCTAGAACATATCCAGATCTTTCAATCAACGTAACATAAGGTTTTACTTCATCACAATCTCCTTGCCCAAAAAACTGAAAAGATATACAGAATATAATACTGGAATTCAAAACAAGACAAATATCTCTGTGGATAAGAAACACAACAGAGGTTGTTCAAAAAGTAGGGAGTGGTGAATGAAAGCAAGAGACAGGAAAAGGAACATTGTGGGACTGTCCTGCTTCAAGGTTGTATATGGTGAGATTTTTGGACTTATGAGTAAACATAAGAAGTATATAATTCTTTACGCCTAATTTTAAAATATATTCTAATTTATAAATGTTTTTTATTATATCCTGTAGGGTCTTAAAGTTCAACATATCAATACTTGATGAAAAATACCTGTTCCATATTATGCCTAAGATGTTTGATATACAGACAGTGAGGTTAAGCTTAACAGCCTAAGTTGTACGGTAATAAGAATAAGCTTGTCTTCTGGAGGGTTAACAACCTAAGTCTGCAGACCAAAATTAGAGAAAAAGGAGGGCTGCAAGGAAAGCCAACATTTTGGCCCTAGCCTTCTAAGGTCAATTAAGACTCAGGACATATGAGAACTTGTACTGTAACGTCATGTAACTCGGTAGTGTCCCACATTTTCTGATCAAGGAGATAATGGGGCCAAAGGGGAAAGTGATTGATGATGTAGAGTGTGCCTAAGGGGAGTCACATGGAGAGAAAACATTCTCTCAGGCTTTCACAGAGAGCACAACGGCCAAGCAATGGCCGTGACTCATCCACATGGCTGACACTGACAAAGGTTCTACAATCTGAGGTACAGGATCTCAGGATAAATCCTGAGGGGATTTCACTGACCTTATCAGACCCAAAAGCTACAACTCTTGTTGCATAGGTCCTGCCTTACCTTGGTCTTAACCATCCAGCAGAAAAGTATAAAAACGAAATATAAGAAGTAAAGCCGGGGCTGGTGAGATGGCTCAGTGGTCTAAGGCACCTACTTCGAACCAGCTAAGCTAAGCAAAGCACAGGGACCGCGGTTCAATCCCCCAGCACCACATGCCAGCCAGTCCCGCCCCCTGGTGGGCTGAGCTGGCCACACACACACAAAATAAATAAATAAATAAATATTAAAAAAAAAAAGAAGTAAAGCCATGCTGTTATGTTGAGCTGTAGGGGACTCAGGTCAACAATTTCTGACATTGCCAGTCAAGCAGAAGACCCAATACTATTATGGGCTACTGGACTCTTTTAGAATATTTTGCTGAGTTTACACAGCTATAATATTCAAATAATGGAACTTAACAACAAAAAGGGGATACAGATGAATGTCCATTTTGTATCTGTGTATTCAAATGGCTAGGATCAATATACAGTTACATTCTCTTAATGAACAGAGGGATTTATTCTAATGGTGTTTGTAAGTAGGATATCATGTCTGCATCTTGTACAGCAATTAACAACTAGGAAGAATGTATAAAATGTGTTAATTATTGAAACGGTCCTACCAGTTTGGTTTGAAACTGTCTCATTGCTATTTGTTTCTCAATAAATTTATGGAAAAAAATTAAAAAAAAAAAAAGAAACACAACAGAAATGTAAAGCAGTATACCAGACTGAAGTCACAAATTTAGTTGGGTCTAAGTGCAAGCTGACTATAATGGTCTTGAGCTCAAGCTGTCTAAGACAATAAATACTAATGGTACTCCAACTGAGGCAGAGCAAGACCCAGTCTCACCACACAAAGCAAAGACTTGGGGGTAAGTCTTCAAAGGCTGCAGAACTGGTACAAGGACAGCCTGGGTCTACAGATAACTACTACAGGCCCACCGCTGGAAGTATATGCAGGCAAAGAAGAGAAGAGGACAAAGACACAGCCTCTAGCACTGTCTTTCAACTTTTCCAAAAGCCTGGCATACAGTGACTGTGTGTGGGGAGGGGGGAGAGGTGCCTATGTCTGTAATTTAGGAAATAAAAATGTACCTTTATTATAAGTAATATATGCTGGAATTCTGTATTCTTAAATGCTGACTCCATAAATTAATTTCATGATTGAGATTTTTTTTTTTTTTTTTTTTGGTGATACCAGGGATCAGACTCAGCACTCTGTACTTGCCAGGCAAGCACTTACTCTACTGAACTATCTCCCCAGCCCCTTGATCTAGATTTTTAAAAACACTATCTCACTGGGGGAGAAGGGGACAACCCACTTGGGCCCCCCTTCTCTGTCAGACAGAACTTTCCCCCAATAAATGTATTCTGCTCTAAAAACAAAACAAAAAACACTGTTTCAGGACACCAAACAAATGATACTCCAGTATCAGGAACAGATAAAAAATTAACATATTTCACACAATTTAGTGACTATAATTTTAGACTTCTTCCCATTACCTTCATATTGACATCACTGCCATTACAATTACAATTTTATTTTTTTTTTTTTTTTTTTTTTTTTTTTTTTTGTGGAACTGGGGAATGAACTCAGGCCCTTGGGCTTGCCAGGGAAGTGCTTATTCCACTAAGCCATCTCCCCGGCCCCCTACCATTTGCCTTTGAGACATTTTTTTCTCAAGAAAAAAATAATAATAATAATATTTCTTAAGAATATGATGGTATATAAAGAACAAGACATCCAAATGTCTTGTGAAAGTATCTAGTGGAAACTGGATACTTTCCCTCACTGGTCTATATGATTTGTGTACACAACAATCTGAATTCTTACCTAAGCAAAATTCTCAAACTACACAGACTACGAACCTCAGAACAACTAAACCCAAAGATTTACACAACAGCAAGGCAAATTGTACCTTATGGACAGAAGACTACATCAACTATTACACATTTTTAAAAAAAAAGACAAAAAGTTCCTACAATGTGCATGTTTCTATACTAGCTGCAAAGAAAAATACAAATATAAACATGTTTTCTCAAAAAGTTTGTAATCATATAAGGAAAATAGACTAAGACTACTAAATCACAACATTTTACATGGACAAATGAAAAGCTATGAAGCCATCAAGGAAGAGAAATTCTACTGCAGTCAAGAAAAATAACAGTTTCATCATATGTACAAAACAAGCCTTCAAGGATAAACAAGATGCAGACAAAAGATAAAACTAGAGATAAAGAAAACACACTGAAAAAGAACCACATTAAAAAAAAAAAAAAAATTCAGAGGAAGGGATTTGCAAAGAAGGATGTGTGAAAGTGATTAAATCAGTTTGGCTAAGATTCAAATTAACTCAGAGAAAGAAAATGGCCTTAAACATCAATCGAATGAGTTTAGGACTAAATTTGCCTTAAACTAATCGAATGAGTTAGGAAGCTGCAGGCAGCTTCAAACAGAAAGTACATTTCTTTTTAGTCTAGGTCATTGATGGTGAACATCTAGATCTTTCAATGATACAAACAGAACACTATAGCATGCCTGCCAAAAGCTCACCAATGCTTTTCTAGGTTCTAAGTAAGTTGAGAAATAAAAGCATGGGTAATAAAATACAAAAACTGCAACTGGGAGAAATTCAGCAAAAGCCAAATGAGCCCACTAAATGAATCCCACAGTGCAAAAGGATTTCCCAGCTATAGAAAGTACAGAGCCACTCCTTGGCTGGTCTCTGCAGGCAGCCTGTTCCACAAGCAGAAAAGGCTGAGTGAAAAAAGCACAACATGCGAGGTGTGGCGGGGCATGCTAATTATCTCAGCACCTGAAGACTGAGGCAAGAAGATCCCAAGTTCAAGGCGAGCCTGAGCTTCATAGAGTTCAAGGACAGCCTGCACTACAGTGTGACTTTGTCTCAAAACAAACAAAACAAAAAACATGGCCAGTTTATTCCATCTAAATTCTCCAGTAGACCAGGCATGGTGGTCCATGTCTATACTCCTAGCCCTCAGGAGGCTGAGGAAGGAGGATTGCCTTGAGTTTGAGTCCAGCCTGGGCTTCATAGTAAATTCAAGGCCAGCCTATACTACAGAGCAAGACACTGTCTCAAAACAAATGAATAAGTTATAAGTGGAGCTAGTCTCACATGTGCAATAGGTAACAATGTGAGAAGCTGGTAGGGACTATGGTAAACTAGGACAAGTCAGTACTTCCCAAGGGCATCCTTGATTAAAAACCACTCTGCCTGCCAAACAAGATATTCTTAAATCTCACTGTTTTGTAACCTTTGACCTGAATTTTTTTGGGTCTGAAGTTAATAAAGGAATGGAATTGTAAAATATAAAATGCTTTGTGTTTATTTTGAAGTACTCTATTGATTTAAAATGAAAGTGTCAACATTAAGAAGTAATCAAATATAAAATGTGATTGTAAATTCTATCTTTATCAAGGTATTCTAAATTTTTTAAACAAAGAACAATTAGAATTTTCTTGTTTTTTTATTAAAATTATTTTGAAATGGTCATGGTCAGTACAGTTATGAACAGGATTTGTACACTCACCTATTTTTTCATAAAACTTTAGGTGAATATTATTTTATCTATAACTGCAAAGTTTTTTTTTTTTAAATTGCAGATGTACATGTACTAATTTAGTGTGCTGTATGATAGTTTAATGGATATTACATGCGCATTCCTTTGTCCTAATTTGTAAAAGTATATGTCAGAGTTCTTCTGGAAATATCTTTAAACAAGAATTTTATTCACTTAAATATTTACAACTTGTGTAAAGTGAAAATGAATGTAACTATAGTGAGCAGTGTAGCTTTGCTCATATTCTTTGATGTTTGCCAAAAGAAGAATAAAAAGTGAATGAATTAAATCAAAAAAAAAATAAAAATAAAAATAAATTCTCCAGTAGAAATTTATTCTGGCTCCTGAAGGACAGACTGAGAAAAGGTGGCATGAGCTATGACTAGTGGTGCTCCCTTAGCCAGAAAGAAAAGATCAGAAACAGCAAAGACATATTCTTACCAAATCACTTAAGAAAACTTCTAAATGGAGTAATACCATGATCAAAGGTTCACCCTGGAAAAAATAACCTGACATAACTGAGATGTAGTGGGTGACATCAACTCCTAGGCACCAAGCTCACCCTTCCTGCTCCACCACTCACTGGTTACCCCCCTAGCTGGATGTGCCTGCCTTTTTCTCTGTTAATACAATGAACTCCAACTCTAAATCTAATTCAGGGGGAAAAATATATGAAATGATTTAGTCAAGATGTTCATAAAATTCTGGCTACCAGTGTTAGGATAGCTTTTCAAAAAAACTAAGTCTCTACCAAGTTTTCTAAAAACATTTAACCCTCCTACCTTAGCAACCCAAATAGGCGGGATTACGGGCATGTACCACCACATCTGACTTAAAGTCTACCTTCTTCATAGTCAGTTATTTCTTATTCAGATTTTTATACCTGTTTATTCCTTATTCCTATTTAATAAAGCTATTACATATTCCAACACATCAAGGTTTTGTGGAGCTGATTCTACTAATTAATTCATTGTTTCAGATGGCTCTTTCATGGCCAAAACATCAGGCAAAAGCACCTGGGAGGGGAGGCAAGTGTATTTTCACATATTTTGTGATTCTTAGGTTGTGAGCTTATATCCACTGAACTGTTTCAGAAAACCAGTGAAGCCTAGACTGACAGCATGATCTTCTAGAAAAGACTTGTGTTTATGTGTCCCAAACAGTTCAAGGTGTTACCAATTCAAAAATACTTTAAAATACATTCTCCCCTTATAGATTTTCAGACCGCATATATTCCAGAAATTCAAGCCAAACGAAGCTATAAACCACTATAGGGTCAGGCTGTGGTTATACACATATTCCGTTGGGAGATTTGACTCCCTCCATATGAGACACATGACAAAACAAGCAGGCTGTAGGGTGTGGGTCAGTGGTGAAGTATTTACTTTGAAGGTACAAGCACAAGCCTCTGGGTTTAATTCCCAGCCCTGGGAAGCAAACAAAGGACACAGGCAAGCTCTCCAGCCTTCAATAAGGTTATTTCCAGGTTTATCTTCTAATCAAGAATATACCCTGTAGAGTCCCAGAATTAATACACGTTTATCAATCAGACTCACCTATCTCATGTAGGAGCTTTTTTTAATCTGCTATCTCTAAGCATTCATTAAATCTGAAATTCTACATTACCAGGACTGTGTGATATAAATCACCAACAGTACTTCTTCACTTTCTAAATTCATACCTTTGTCCTTTTTCTCTTTTTCTTTTTATTTCTTTTAGTCTCTCATTCATTTGCTTTGCTTTGTTTTCAGTAACAGGGTTTTGCTATGGAGACTGGCTGGCCTTGAACTGTTGGCAATCTTCCTGCCTCAGCCTCCCAAGTGCATCTGCCTTATTTTTTGGTCTGTAAAGATTTCCCACTATTTTTCTACTAGCAATATGACAACATTTTAGGTGCCTTAAAATGAAAATATTTTTATATTATCTAATTCAGTATATACAATGAAACAAAAGTTCAGAGAATTCAGTTTAATTCAATGATAATGACTTAAAATCAATTTATTATTCAAGTGCATATGCTCTAGATTGGTGGTGGCAAAGCTACGGCACACATGCCGCAGCAGGCTGGCCTGTATCGCTGAAAGCTCTAAAAGGTTTGCCATCACTTTCCTAGATCTATAAAAGCATACTTTTAAATTGATTTTCTATTGGAAACTTAAAGAATTTACATAATACTTCATACTTGTTCTCAATAATTTTATAAGTATCACAAAGGAGAAACTACTATACAATTAAATCTGCATTTATGTGAATGTCTTATCAGCTTATTAAAAGCAAATTAGAAAGGTAAAGCATTTTACATGTTTTCTTACCTGCTCATGTGCTTGGTTCTTCTCTCGCTCTATTTTCCTTGTCATTTCCTTTTCAGCTTTGAGTGATGAGGACGACACAGTCTTAACAGACATAAAATCTACAGTCATCCATGCATCCCTCTGTTTAAAAAAAAAAAGTTACTTCAAACTGAACCAATGAGAATTAGTAAGAGCAGGAACTTTGGAAACATTCAAACTGTATCAAATCCTACATGACTGCACTACTTCAAGCCAGTTTCAAAGTCTCTGTATGTCTTAAGTCTCTCCTCTATTAGACTGGATAAATGTCTTTCAGGGTTGGTCCAAGGGTTAAACAAGATAATAGATATAAGCACTGTGCCTTAACAAAAAATGAAACTTAGATCCGGTTGACCTTGCTTTCTTCATCAGTTGCTAAGAGTGTATAAGTTACTTCTTTCTTAGGCAATAGGCACAACTATTCAACTGTAAGTATTGTTAAGAAAATTATGCATAAAGTGAAGAGAAATAAAACTACAACTGAATTCTCCCAACCACAGAAGGATTTAACCAGAGGTAACACTGCAAGGTTGCAAGCACATTAGGAAGGAAATGTTACTTCTCTATCAGGGAGCAGAATCAGAAAAACTTCTAAGGGACTAAAACAGAGGTAAGTACTCTCTTATAGTAGGAGAAAAGGGAGAGCCCAAATGTTCAGCAAATACTCATAAGCTATACTGTTTTCAAAGTCTGATTTTCTCCAGAAAAAAATGATAAACATCTTTTACTTTAACATTCACTTTTCTTAGAAGTTGAAACTTCGACCGGAGAGATGGCTCAGTAGAATAAGCACTTCCCTGGCAAACGCAAGGGCCTGAGTTCAATTCCCGATTCCACAAAAAAAAAAAAAAAGAAGTTGAAACTTCTTTCTTTAAGCTCAGGTGGCTTGCTTACCTGAATAACCTGGCTGTCATCTTCTTTCTCAAACTCTTCATCTTTCACTTTCCAGGCCTTTTCTCTGCCAGGAGTTTGGGATGGAACAGCCTCAACCCACTCATCCTCAGAGCTCTAAGAATATTTAGCACAAAGTAGAATTGTTTAATGCGCATACTTGCATGCAAAATTTCTATGCTGTTAAGTAATGATAATTCAGCTTCTTAGATAAAACTCTTGCAATGTATTTCCTCTTTTAAAAATGACCGGGGCTGAGGAGACAGCTCAGCAACCTACGCACCTGCACGGCAAAAGCAAGGACCTGGGTTTGATCCCTGGTACAGCATTCCATGCTGGCCCCCCAAAACAGGCATGGTGGCGCATGCCTATAATCTCAGCACTGGGGAGGCTGAGACAGGAGGATCACTACAAGTCTTAACTTTGTGGTGAGACCCTGTACCAAATAAATAAATAAAAGATAAAAAAACAAAAGTAAATGTAAAAATGACTTTGAAAATTGAAAGATCATATAAATGTACTATTTTGAATTAAATCCACAAAACACAACTAAATTATTTCTATTTTCTTATCAGTTATATTACAGGGCTAACAGAAAATAAAATTTAAAAAAAAAAAAAACAAACATTAGACCTGTGAGTAAACTATTCATTTCATCCCAGAGCTTCAATTCCTACCAATATCAAATGCTCACACTTCTGCTGCCCTAGATAAAGGGAAATGACACCAGATACAATAAATGAGTTTGCCATTTGCCTCTAAGTTTCAATTTTTGAGATGCCCTAGATCTAGCTATGGCCCAAATAGATTATTAGATAGTGTGGTTTTTATTATTTATTTAAGTTTTTTTTCTTTTTTTCTTTCTCCCCTTGGTGATACTGGGGATTTGATTTTTTTTTTTTTGGGCAGAACTGGGGATTGAACTCAGGCCCTTGCGCTTGCCAAGCAAGCACTTATTCTACTGAGTGCCCTAGATCTAAAACTGTAAAAGTATCAAGAAATAGCTAGGCTCATGAGGCACTTTGCTAACTATACCAAATTATTAATTACGAGAATATTTAATCAGTTAAGAATTCAGTCAACATCCCTCATGTATTTATCATTACTCCAGGATTTTTGGTTTGTTTACAAACATAGGGCATAGATCTGCCCTTCTCTGTCAAGTAGCATATTAAGTAATTTTGCATACACTATCACAGAGTCCAAATCACTGTAGAAAGTGCTGGCTTCATTTTACAGATAAAGTGCCTGAAATTAAGTAAGTAGCCCAACGTTACATGATATTCAAGTGTGAGGACAAAGATAAGAATTGCAATCTGTTGGAACTAAAATCTGTTCTTTGGAGCTTCAGAACTTAAGTGTAGGAAAGATCCACAAACTACCTTGTGCAAACCACCTATTAATATACAGCTAAGAAACACTGAGGCTGAGGGGAAAAAATGAATCAACCAACAGCAAGGCAGTCTTCTTAAATGATACCATTTCCATAAAGTTTTTAAAAGTTACATAAGCTTTCTTTAAAGAACAGAAGTCTGTCAAAAAGTAGAACCCACATGAGTAAGCATACTTAAGCTCTACTACCTCAACTGTCACCTGTTTCTCAAAGCAAAGTGGATTTTATTCATTCATTTAGGCACTGATTTGGATTTACAGACACTAATTTATATAGACATAGATGTAGATATGCAGATATATAAAATTTCTAAGATATTCACTATAAGTGCATTCCTGGTCAAATTATATTTGCACCATCAAATCAACTTAGAGAAACCTCACTCCTAATGGGGGTTTTGAAGGGAGTTCTATCAGAGCTTGAGTCCAGCAGCACTCTAGCCCTGAGCTACATCCTCAGCCTCCCTCCTTTTCATTTGGAGTCACAGTCTCACTAAATTGCTGGGTTGGCTTCAAACTTGGGAGTTCTTCTGCCAAACCTAATGAGTAGCTAGGATTACACTTGTGCGTCATCATGCCCAACCTGGTTCCTAATTCTTTTCTTTTTTAAGAGAATAAAAAGAAAAAAAAGAAAAAAACCATTAAAAATGATACAGAATTTCAAAAGACAGGAAATCAACAATGGTTGCTATATTGCATACTGTTATCTTCAAAGTAGTTCTTCAGATTACCAGATATAAGTAAAACTGGTCTAAAAAATTTAACTGTTCCTTTCAATAAACCAACAGAAATCAGAAGTACATCATCTTACCTATTGTATGTGTGTGTGTGTATTTCCCCACCTGCCTTCTTTCTCCTTTCTCTAGCAGCTTCTTTCCCTTTCACAGTCTCTATTGTACCTTTCAGATTTTATTAACTCTTTCAGTGTCTTACACTAGGGAGACAATACAGTGCTTACACATGTGGGTCTCATTTATTTCACTTATGTATATAGTCTCTAGTTGCATCCATTTACCTATAAAAGCCTTGAGTTTATCTTTCTTTATAGCTGAGTAATACTTCACTGCATAACTGGTCCTAATTCTTTTTTTTTTTTTTTAATTTTTTTTTATTTATTTGAGAGAGAGAGAGAGAGAGAGAGAGAGAGAGAGAGAGAGAGAGAGAGAGAGAGAGAGAGAGAGAGGCCAGCTCAGCCCACCAGGGGGCGTTCTGGCTGGCATGTGGTGCTGGGGGATTGAACCGCAGTCCCTGATGCTTTTGCTAAGCTTGTTCTAAGTAGGTGCTTTAGACCACTGAGCCATCTCTCCAGCCCCTGGTCCTAATTCTTGATGTCCTCCACTAAAAGGGGAGTTACAGCCTGAAAAAAAAATCACTTTCTTTAGGGGAGTGTCCATTTGTTAATATCAAACTAAAACGACTAAACTTTGGTGTTCCTTGGATTCTGATGTAGGGTTTCTTTAATAATTAGAATTTTCTCTATCTTATAACATATGGACCAACCGCTCAAATCCACTAACTGAAGTCATCAGTTGCTTCACCAACCAAATGTCAAACTCTAGATAAATCCACTCATTGTAATCTACAACTTCAATTAAAACACTTTCAACACAAATGAAAAAAATTGCCCTTGTACTCATTCTCTGGCAGTTCTCCTTTACTTCCTCTTCTTTAAAGCATTTATCCATTTTATATTTGTGTGACTATTTCATTAATGTTCCACTTAGTAGCAAGTCTTATGAGAACAGAAGCTACATCTGCTTTGATCTACTTTGTGCCCCAAATATAAGACCTGGCTTGATACCTGCACAAGTACCCTCATCTTCTAAAACACTGTCCTCAAGCATCCCACCCACTCACATTTCCCATACACTCAGAAAATGATTTCTCCTCTTGCCTTATCAAGAAAGCTTAGTCCACTTTTGCTTCCTCCATACACGCCAGCAAAATTTAGTTTCTTGTCTAATCTCTGCTGACTCTTCATTCAAAGAAGATACTCCCCAAGAGATTTTCAACTCAATCATCCCTATTCCTCCAGGACTTTGCTCCATCAATTACACTGTCTTCTCTGACGATTCAACCAAAGGTTCCTAACAGTATAGAAATATGTTGAAGTATTTCTCACCTTCTGTTTTGAAGGAGAAGAGGATTTTCCATGATCCTGTATATCTCTCTACTAGCAATTTATCTTCCAACTTCCATTCTAAGATGATCTTGCTGAAAGAACACCTTCCATCAACTGTTTCATACCCTTACTTTCAAACTTCTCTCCAAGCTCTACAAAACAGCTATATCCCCACTAATTTATTGAACTTCTTCAAAATTGAGCAGTAGCTTCCACATGATCAAAACAAACAAAATGTTGCAGTTTTTATTTATCTAAATCTTTCACCTGAATACAGCTCTGTGGATAACTCTCTTTTTTGATTTCCAAGAAACTTCCAGTCTTTGTTTCTTTTCCAATTCCATCATACATTATTCCTCTTTTTGCTGGGTTTTGTTTTGTTTTGTTTTTTCATATTTAGTACAAGGTCTAGAGTGTCTCACTGTACAGATCGGACTCATAGTGATTCTGTCTTCAGCCTCCCAAGTGCTGGGATTACAGGCGTGTGCCAACACGCCCAGTCTCAATCACCATCTCAGCATGCCCTATGGGCGGGGCCAGCATAGCATGCCAGAGATCGAACCCAGCCACTATGCTCTGCCTAAGCAGGCGCTTTAGTCTGCTGAGCTATCTGACCAGCCCTTTTGCTCAGTTCTTAAATACCCATACCACTTATGTTTTTAATTCTTTGGCCACTACATTTGTTATTCTCTAACTATTCCACTTAGGCCATTAAATCCATTTTCTTTTATCCTTTTTTTTTTTTTTTTTTTTTTATTTTTGCAGAACTGGGGATTGAACTCAGGCCCTTGCGCTTGCCAGGGAAGCACTTATTCCACTGAGCTATCTCCCTGGCCCTTAAATCCATTTTCATGGCTTGATCTATTACCAATTTTCCTGATGATTTTCAAATGTGTCTAACCAAATTTCCAAGGACTTAATCAACTATCTACTACACTTAAAGGTCATGCTGAACTCGAGAATATAAAATAAACCTAACAATTTCTTCTATAACACCTGGTCTTTCCATTCTATTCCTGAACTGAGTTACCTGGAACCAACAACCACCTACTCATCCAAGTTAAAAATCTCAGGACCTCTTACCCCACTAATCCAAAACTACTGCTTGCAACTCCAAAATACTTAGCAATACCTCACACAGCAAATATGGGAACCTACTTCCACGCTTAGTAAGTCACCTAGTTCAGAAGTCATTTCCTGACTTAATTTGTTCTATTCAAATTACTCTGAAGAGCTTGAAATCAAGCCCAAAGACTGATCGAAAGTGAAGGGGAAGTTGATAAGCATTGGCAGAGGTTACTTCCCTCATGCAGGAGGGCCTTCAGCAAAAGCTGGTCTGTAGCAAGAAACAAAAATAGACTAACAAGAGAAAAACATGGAAAATAGCAAGGAAGCTACTAAAAGCATGCATGGTTCTAAATTCATCTATTCCTAGCCTCCAGATGATTCCCGTATCTAGACATCTCATAAAATTTCATACTCCAATAAGTTCTTTTTTTTTTATTTTTTTTATTTATTTTAATTTCAAAATTTACCTTTATTGCTCTTTATTTTTTTTTGTTTTTTTTTCTACAGTTTTATTGATAAACATATAGCAATGAGA